GCTTGGGGGGGGGTGGGCAAGAAGGTGAACCTGAGCAGGAAAGGAGAAGGGGTGGTGGATTGGTGATGACCCATGGAAAAAAAGTCCTTTCTCAGTCCGGCTGAAATTCCTCCCTCCCTCCTTTGAAATGAATTACATTTGTTCAGATTAAAATCCATGCGAGCTGCTTCAAGTAAACGCAGCTTGCTCCTGTGCCGTCCACGGTGATACGCTGAATTTCAGGTTTCAGTATGCGCACATCTGGTGTGTTAAGATAGCGGCAATTAAATCCAGGTGTAAGTGTATCCCTTAGATTCAATGTCTGTCCAGAATAATGGGAAAAATGCAACTGAAGGCCTAATAAAACAGGACTTCTGCTGGGTCTGAACAGCTGGTAGAAGCATCACTCGCGCTGTCTGTTAAAGGGAGGCTTTCTGTGCCTGTGATTTTCCTTTTAGTGCTCCCTTTAATTGCCGTCGTATTTGAGTCATTCTCTCTTCTGTTCGTCTTTTGGATTTTAGCTCTTTGCTAATCTTTATAGCCTTTTTACACATGCTTTATTGACTCTATTACTTGTAGCAAATTCTGCTGCCAATAACGTAGATCGGATCCTATATCAAATGAAGCTGTCATGTCAGCTCCTCTGGCAGGTTGATGTCATTTGTGTTGTGACATAGAATCAGCCCGTGATCTTTTTAAATGTCCATTGTCTAGGCTGGTATATAACTTTGGCCTTGAGGGTTTTTTTTCTCTTGGGTTTTTTTTTCCAGCTTATTTTCCACTTTATCATCCTGGTTTCCACATGCCTTTCATTATATCAGCTACTGCCTGACCTACTGAAGACTGTAAAGCTGGTTTGCCTGCTTTCTTAAGTTGTGGCTTTCTGTAAGGCTTTTGAATCTAATCTTAGCTCGCTATCTTCTTGTTCTGAAATAGCAATTTCCACTTTAAGGATGCTTTAATGCTGGTGTGCATATGCATCCTGTATTACCCGCCTTCTGGCACTGCTGCTAGGAAGCTCAAGTGCATTTTACTTTCTATTGACATTTTAAATGACAGGGGAACTGTAGCTTTGCATTGCAGCACTTGAGATAACTTATTTAGCATCTTGACTAAAACATTCAGCAAGCTGGATTTTTAATGCCTGAACAGCATTTGGGTGTAACAGAAAAGGTGTCGTCATACTTGCTTACTATGTATATGGCATCCTTTTTTATCGTTCTTTATTATTATTATTAAAGCCCATGGAGGCGGAAGAATAGTAAGTTTTGTAGTGAACGCTTCATGGGTTTCTTTTTCCTGGTGATGCTGCATTGTTGTGAAAAAATGATCTTCCAGTCTACTTACTGCTCAGTTGTTTGGCCGACGGTGGTATCTCTAGAATGGGCTGTAGTAATCCCAAATCCGTGATAGATGTTTCTTTAACCAGTTTACAGTGAATAATCCTCTTAATTTCCTTGAATAGCAGCTGGTATTGCTACAACCAGTGCCTAAAACCAAGAACAGCTTATTCAGAAAGCCTTCTGGCCCTGCGAGCAAGGAGGAATTTTCTCCCAGCGGGGGCTGCGTGGGCTAACTTTCACAAGTACAGCACTGCTGAGACACTAACTTCTCCTTTCTCTCTTCTAGATGCAGCAGCTGTTTTATGAAAATTACGAGCAGAACAAAAAAGGCTATATCCGAGACCTGAGGAACAGCAAAATACACAGAGCTATAACGCTGCACCCCAATAAGAACCCCCCGTACCAGTACAGACTTCACAGCTACATGCTGAGCCGCAAGATAGCAGAGCTGCGCCACCGGACTGTACAGCTGCACCGGGAAATTGTCCTGATGAGCAAATACAGCAATACAGAAATCCACAAAGACGACCTGCAGCTGGGGATGCCACCCTCCTTCATGCGATTCCAGCCCCGCCACCGGGAAGAAATCTTGGAGTGGGAGTTTCTTACAGGGAAGTATTTGTATTCGGGTGCCGACGGCCAGCCCCCTCGGAGAGGAATGGACTCTTCTCAGCGTGAAGCGTTGGATGACATTGTTATGCAGGTCATGGAAATGATCAACGCCAACGCTAAGACCCGGGGGAGGATCATAGATTTCAAGGAAATACAGTATGGCTATCGCAGAGTAAATCCAATGTACGGAGCAGAGTACGTTCTTGACTTGCTGCTTCTGTACAAAAAGCATAAGGGGAAGAAGATGACTGTCCCCGTCAGGAGGCACGCGTACTTGCAACAGACATTCAGCAAGATCCAGTTTATGGAGCACGAAGAGATGGACGCCAAAGAGCTGGCCAGCAAAATCAACCAGGATTCTGGATCCCTGTCTTTCCTCTCCAACTCGCTGAAGATGTTTGTTCCCTTCCAGCTCAGCCGATCCAAAGTAGAGAGGAAGGAACTCAAAGACAAGAAGATCAACATCCTGATTCCTCTCTCCGGACGTTTTGACATGTTTGCAAGGTTCATGGGGAATTTTGAAAAGACGTGCCTCATTCCAAACCAGAACGTCAAGCTGGTTGTCCTGCTTTTCAATTCCAACTCCAACCCTGACAAGGCGAAGCAGATCGAGCTGATGAGAGATTACCGCTCCAAATACCCCAAGGCTGACATGCAGGTTTTACCGGTGTCAGGGGAGTTCTCGAGGGCACTGGCTCTGGAAGTCGGATCTTCTCAGTTCCAGAACGAGTCTTTACTTTTCTTCTGTGATGTTGACTTAGTGTTTACCACAGAATTCCTCCAGCGGTGTAGAGCCAATACGGTTTTGGGTCAACAAGTATACTTTCCCATCATTTTTAGCCAGTATGATCCAAAGATTGTTTATAGTGGAAAAGTTCCTAGTGACAATCATTTCGCCTTCACCCAGAAAACAGGTTTCTGGAGGAACTATGGCTTTGGTATTACCTGTATTTACAAAGGTGATCTTCTTCGAGCAGGTGGCTTTGATGTCTCCATCCAAGGTTGGGGCCTTGAAGACGTAGACCTATTTAACAAAGTCATTCAAGCTGGCTTAAAAACTTTCCGAAGCCAAGAAATTGGAGTAGTCCATGTGCATCACCCTGTTTTTTGTGACCCTAATCTTGATCCAAAACAATATAAAATGTGCTTGGGGTCCAAAGCTTCAACTTATGGGTCCACACAACAGCTGGCTGAAATATGGTTTGAAAAAAATGACCCAAATTTTGGGAAAAGCAGCAATACTAATGGCTCAGTGAGGACAGCCTAATGTCCAGCTATGCTGGAAAAGACTTTTTTTTTAATTATCTAATTTATTTTTGGGAAAATGTTTTTTGATAATTCACTTTTAAAAGACCACACAGGATATATTTTAGAAATCATCATTGTTTTCTTACAAAGCGCTCGTTTTGAGAAGAACAAGGCCGCTGGTTTTTTTGTTGTTGTGTTTTTGGTTTTGAACAAAACTGTGATCAATATTTGCCTTCAAACAAAAAAATTGTTTAAGAGTTATCTGATCCGATCAGCGGAAATCTGACTCGAGTTAGAATTTCCTTATGAACAAAAGATTGTTTCCTACCTTTTCCGTTGCTGTCTTCGTTGCTGGGATTCTGTAAATTGGGACCTGAGCGTGCAAGCCAAGTGACAAAACAGCGTATCTAAATGTTTTGTTGTGACTGCTACCGTGCAAAGATTCTGCTTCTTCTGTTAAGGATAGCCATTATTTTTTAAATTGCGTAAGAACAAAACAAATCGGTGTGGCGATGATAAGGATATTAATCGCAGGAGGTTTTATTTCCAGATGGCTGATTATTTCAGCTGAAAAATACACTTCCACTTATTATGGCCGGGCGACTTCAAGGGAGGGAAGAAAGTAAGCACAACCTGCTATCCGATTAGTCCTTGTAGAAATTTTTGTCTTTTATATTTGGTCCATATATGGACGTCATGTTTTAAGAATCCGTGGTGGGTTCTGTGTATTATCCTCAACCGCTGTCCTGTCTAGAGCTGAGACGATGCGATCAAGAAACGCCGAAGCGTAACGAGGGAGGGGAAGAGGATGGGAAATGTGAATCTCTTGCAGCAAAGCGACAGTACACAACGACCAATTAGGTAGAGATCCCTAACGAGAACTTTGAAAAATCTTCTATACCGAGTGTACTGCACCTGATTGCATTGATTTTGTTCAGTCGGTTACGTGATGTTAATGGGAACAATTATTACATTTGATTATTAGCTTTGTTTTGGGATTATGTTTTTCTGTATCTGATAGACCGTTAATTTATTTAATATCCATTGGTTTAGGTTCTTGACCTTTCCTTGAATATATGTTAGTCATTTTAATATTTTTTATATATATATGTGTGTGTGTAAATATATATATATATTAGGAATGTATTGCATCTTCTCACTGATAAGGTAGTGTACATCATACTTGCAGTAAATGATCTCCAAAGATTACTTTCTAAAATATTTTTTTCATGGATCTTTTTTCCCCAAATTTCTTTAACATTTTTGGAATGTCTTCAGTAAGCTTAGGAATTTTTTTGGTATTCTAAGAGGAACTGGGGATGGGGAGGCCGAACACAAGGAAAGCGTGATCCCTATGAATTAACACCTAGCAAGGTAAGAGAAAAATAGACAAAATAAAGTGCCTTAAAGCCAGAAAGGGAACCCTTTACACTGAGACGTAGACAGTGAGTGGACGTTGTCATTGAAGCAGATGATCTATTGAGACCTACCTACCTGTAAATATCTTGCTCAGCAGAAACGAAAAATAAAAACCAGCAAACAATATATTTTTCTATCGTATCCTCCAGCACCATTTCGTCTCATTGCTCCCAGTTCCACTTTGCCTACCCTTTGGGAAGTGGAGACTACTGAAGGAACGGAGAAAAACCGATGCTGAGGTTGTTGCCATGTTTGAAGGGATCTTACGGAGTAATTGCTATTCCAGTAGAAGAAGTAACCATTGTTTACACGTGTATGGAATATGAACTGCAACTAGTGTAGAGTTGATGTCTTATAATGTTCATCGTTTTTTGGTGACAGTCCCAAGGACGTAGGTACTTGGATGGATTCAGTGCATGGAAAATCTTCTTTTTTTTTTTTTTTAAGACTTGCTTCTAAGATGCAATAAAGATTTTTTATTTGCAATCGGAGCTCCTCATGTCGTCTGCCTCAGTCCGTATCTTTTCGTGCAGCGTAGGCACAGCTGCAAAGGTAAAGCAGTTTTGGGAAGTAAGTCCAGGTAAAAGGATCTCCCTCTTACAAAGGGGTTTGACCTCTGTGTTGTGTTTTGGCCCGGAATAAACTTAATGCCACGTACCTCGGCTCTGGGGAAAGGGAAAACAAATCCGTTCATCAGACTCTGGCGTTCGCTCCCATTGCTGCCCGCGCTGATGAGCTGTGCGATTCCCTGGGGCGGCTGGTCGTCTCTAACAGAGGTTTTTGACTTTTTCCTCATGAAAAGATTAAAAGTGCGTTTGCTGTCTGAAAACATCCGTAACTATACATTTAAAACGCATACGATGACAAGGCTGAGTAAATTTCGCAATGTTTTGTGTATTCAAAACACAGTAAAAATAATTGTGTCGAGCATTTATTTTTAATAGCTCTGCCAGTTTTGTCACAGTTGTTCAAAATTGGTGTGAGGCTTTTTTATGTGAAAATTAAGTCCCAAAGCAAGAATCTTAGGGATTACAGAAGTGTTTCTTCACACAAGGGAAAGAAAAAAAAAAAGCAACTAGTATTTGTGGCTGCAGAAAAGAGCTTGAAGAATATGAACCCTAAAGAGCTGTACCAAAAGATGGGGGGGGGGGGAGGCCCGTACTTACACTGTATTTATTAACATTTATGATTAAATAGGACTTTTTGTAGCCCATAACAGCCGGTAAAAGCAGAATGCATGTAAATGGAAAAAGCCATTTAATGAAAAGCACCCATCTGGTACTGGGTTTTTTTGCTCGGTTGCAGCAGTTCTGATTCAGTTACCAAAGCTGCCCAAGCAGCATTAAAAGTGAGTTTTACACCAAGCTTGCAGGCAACTCTTGAGGCCCCAATCTTAATTGACCACATAGCCCATAACAGCCGGTAAAAGCAGAATGCATGTAAATGGAAAAAGCCATTTAATGAAAAGCACCCATCTGGTACTGGGTTTTTTTGCTCGGTTGCAGCAGTTCTGATTCAGTTACCAAAGCTGCCCAAGCAGCATTAAAAGTGAGTTTTACACCAAGCTTGCAGGCAACTCTTGAGGCCCCAATCTTAATTGACCACATATTTTATGGACTCGCAGCTTAAAAGTAATCCATTTTAAAGTTCAATTTCGAATTATAACCATCTGTGATGAAGTCTAACCTTATAAAACCCATTTTATACTAAAATAAGCAGTATTTGCTGCCCAAGTTATAAGGAGCTTGACCAGGTGGAAGTCATCGGCCGGCAAGTGCTAACCCAGCCTCTGACAAAAATCCCTTCTGGGGCTGGAACATTTCATTCGCAGTTTACTCTGGTTGTTTGGTTCAGGGAGAAGTTTACTTCGTGCTGAGAAGCCAGTTGGTGTTGGAAAACCCCGGAGGGTTTGCCTCTAGTCCATTAAGAAAAACAAGGTATGAGAAGATGAAACGGTGTCATCCTGACGTTGAAGAACATGGTGGCCGAGAGGCATTTGCTGTGGTTTGCTATATATTGAGACGCTTCTCTTCTTCATGAAAACAATTAAAAATGCAAGACACTTCTTTCCCTTGTTCTTCCAGTGTGTGTGACCCGTGTCAGATGCCGTGCTGGTCGCGGGCATGCTCACTGCAATAGAACTCCCGCCCAAGCAGAGCTTTGCAGCCCTTCAACACTTGGCTTTAAAGCCTTCAACCTTTTCTGGACACCCATGGGTGCGAGCTCTGGCCCGCACACTCGCGTGGAGGATGAACTGACGAGTCAAAGCTCAGAAACACTTCGCCCTTCCCGCCTTCCCGTGGCTGACGGTGAGAGATGGGGTCACGGGTGGGTTTCTGGCCCACATTGACTCCACTCGCCCTGGCCCGTGGCTCGTGCTTGGCAGGTTGGTGGCTCTGGAGGGCTTTGGGGGCCGCTTGTGTCTGCTGAGCTGCGGGCGCGGCCGTCTCCCACCAGTGACTGGTGAGGGACCGTGGTTTGAAGCACAGATGGGATGACCCATCACCATCCTCACCCTTCGGGTATCTTCGCTCCCCGGCTCCATGTTGCTTGTCAGGGGCTTGATGTCCCCACCCCGGTGCTCCTCTGGCAGTGACCGTCCCCAGGGGCTGTCCTCCGGCAGCCTGACAGCTGCAGAGCTTTGGGGTGGGTTGTCACCTGCAGAAGATGGAGCTGACGAACAGGAGGGGCTGAGCTGAACAGCGGGGGGGACCTGCAAAGGAGCCTAAAGCCAGCCTTGGTCCTTCCTTCTGGTAGGTACGGTGGTGGGGCGGAGAGGAGGGCCTGGCTGTCCCGTTGGCTGTCAGGGGGAAGAGCCAAAATTCACTGTGAGCCTCGAGCTGGGGCATCTTGAGGCTGCGCTTGGCTCTTTGTTCATGAACGTTCATCAGTCGCTGGAGTTAAATTGCCTGTGAAACTTCAGGGAGAGGCAACTGGGCTCAGCTGCAGCAGTTCTGACCCAGCTCCCGCTGGATTTGTTACCACTGTTTTCTAAAAGCACTCCCCTCCCAGGAGCTCATTTCTTTGCTCAAGGATCGATGACGGCGAAAAGAGGCAGAGGACATGGGGAAGGGCGGTGCGGTACTTCCGGTTACGCATCGTGCTCGATGCGACTATTTACAGGTTAAATATTTTTATGTAACTTTGCAGAGTCACAGTCCGTGGAAGGATTTCAAGTTTTGGTCCTTTAGGCACAGTGGGGTTTTATTGCCCTGAAAAATCGGTGACCAGCTCCAGCCTCCACGCAGCTTCCCTGGACCCGGCTGTACGGTTCCTTTCAGCAAAATCAGCAAGAAAGTCCCGCTGACCCTAAATCTGCTTAGTCTGAGCTTTTGTTGAAGCTCTAACTTTACATTGCAAATTATTAGCCTAAGTTGTTTTGCATGAATACTTGCTAAAAATACTCCGCTTGCACAGCCAGCCTTACTCGGGAGCTTTTTGGAAAGAAAATCCTTGAGAGGCATTAAAAATGGAGAGCAGGTGAGTGCCTTGCCGGGGGCAGATGCTTCCACGTCCCACCAGGTTCCTCCTCCTCTGCTCTGCTTGGGGATGTGGTGGTTTCTGGGCTGGTGGGACACTGCCCACATTAGGAGCTGTTTAAACGACTGTTTCTGTACCCAGGGCTGCAGTCTCTGCAGAGCGGGGCGCTGGCAATGGGAGTTACTGCGCTGACTGGAGCAAATTCAGGGGTTTTTGGATCCCGATTTGAGCTCGAAGGCCATCTCCTCTGTGGGGCATGGGCAGCCTTGGAGACATCCTACACACCCTGGCCGAGGCACGTTTGGGCTGCACTGCA